CAGCCAAGCGACATTGGAAGCTCTTGGCTCCTACCAAGCAACGTCTAAATTGGTAGCAAATTGCCAATAACGACTCTCCTCGATAAGAAGACTCAACAGATTGTTTCTGGACTAGATTCTTTACCATACTGGAATGAAAGGCAATGAGGCTGCTGAGTCCCTTACAAAAGAAGGTGCTGCAAGCAGCTTCATCGGACCAGGACCTGGATGGCAGAATCTAGGATTGGCTCACTTGAAGGCGTTTATTCTCCCTTTAAAGCTTGATACCAAACAGTTGTTGGACTACAGTAGGTATGAACTACGATGTCTAACAGGCCTTCTTACAGGTCACTGTCATTTGAATCATCATATGCAGAGACACGGACGGTCGGAAGACAGTGTATGTCGCCTCAGTTTGGAAAATGATGAAACAGCATAGTACATAATTCATGCCTACTCCGCTGGGGACCGAATCAGGTTTTTAGAGCTTGGTAGAGCCGTACTCTTGCCATACAAACTAATCGGCTTCGTTAAGAAGCTGGGTTTATTTGGTAGAATGTGAATATGTGTGAGCCACAATAAACTCTTGCGGGTTGCGGTGGAGGGTCGAATAGACCCACTCACTTTGAACCTAACCCAACCTCACACTGCTTTTTGGCTCGGATCTTTCTGCACTGATGAGAAGTAATACTTCGAAACCGGTCTGAAGGCATGGTGCTGCTTGACAGAGGCCAAGCTATGTGAGGTATTTTGCATAAATCTCTGTCGGATATAGTTCAAAGTCCAGCGTAGTATTAGCCGGGGAAGTAGTTGTGTTTCGGAAAGCATTTACCAGATTCTACTGTGTAGGGAGAGATGGATATTTTGAGATTTCATTTCGAAATGTTATGGGGTATTTTGTTAGGATAGAACAATTTTTGGGAAAGAGGAGTTTTGGCTTTCTGCTTCTCCATCTGCACACAAAAAAATGTGGGAATCTTCCAAAGGAAGGAAGGAAGCAATCAATTTATAAAAATTGACTCCACACAAATATGTGTAGACCGTACAAAACCTGAATATTTTGTTCTGAGTGAAGCAGTTTCATGTTATAACCCTTTAGATGATGACAAATTCAGGTACAGTAAGTTATGCTTTACAGAAAGTATTCAGAAGTAAAAACTATTATAAAATATGAAATTGCTAGTTGGGATATTATAAAAGTAAATTATCTCCCAAGTATCCCACAAAATTTTCTGGTTTTTATGTCAATTACCAACTGAGCAAGAGCAATTGAAAATGTGATATCGCTCGCGGTACATCCTGACGTCACACCAGGCAACGAGCTTCGAGCGGTGGTAACCGGGCCTGTAGTTGTAGATTATGAATCGCTGCCATCGTCGGATTTTGTTTCATTTGCTGACTGGTTTGAAAACACCACGTGTTACACATTCACGCAGTTGATACACTGCAGTAAACAACACACAACTTGCTCTCTACGGCTTCAATACACGTATGTATTTCGCTTATCCGCCAGCACTTCCTTGTCGCCGAATCGGCTGATGTGACGTCAAGTTTGACCACGCCCCGTTTCGGTGAACGCCAGATTCAACTATTAATTTGAAGGGGAAGATAAAGAGTGAAAATTCAGATTTTTTGCAGACGTACTATCTGAAACATGAATTTTCAAATAATTGAATTAAAAAAAATACCTCATGACAAATCATGAGTATTAATGGTTATGATATCGAAATCATACTCCAATCATCCAGGAGAGCCAAGAGCAATTTCGATCAAGCATCAAGGTTTTGCTCACTGTTTTCTTCGATAACCGTGGCGTAGTGCACCAGGAGTTCTTGCCACATTGTCGCACGGTTTTTCAGTTCAAGTGGTAGCTGATTAGATAATCTGAGCCCTATAACATTGGGGGAATGGTAAATCAGTGTATTTTACAATATGGCATAATTATGAAAGTTATGAGTTATTGTACATCTTATAATCTTTTTCTAGGCGACCAAAACATATTTGCATGAAGAGGAAGCTTCCCAGAAAGTAATACCATACCGAAGACGCGATTCGACTTGAGCATGATACAGCATAATCAGCTGTTTCTGGTCTAAAATATTACGAAGGTTTCTCAGAAGATAATTCATGGAAGTTATGCGCTGCTTGCCAGAAGCAATATGAAGAAAACGTCTGGTATTGTGGAAAAAGTAATACCAGAAAGTAATACCATACCGAAGACGCGATTCGACTTGAGCATGATACAGCATAATCAGCTGTTTCTGGTCTAAAATATTACGAAAGTTTCTCAGAAGATAATTCATGGAAGTTATGCGCTGCTTGCCAGAAGCAATATGAAGAAAACGTCCGGTATTGTGGAAAAACAATTCATGGCTTTTGCATCATTATAATGCACTTGCTCACTTGTCATTGCTGTTTGTAATTTTTTAATTGATTTGAAATGAAAAATGTCACTCATTGAGGAACGGTTTCCTCGCATACAGTCAAACTAAAGGATAAGAACTTTTTTGACTCACCCGTCTGATGCCATTCCCAACTTGGATAGGGTACTAACTTTGGTGACTGTTCTTTGGGAACTCTTGGCAATACTGCTAAACTTGCTGGAACTCCAGGTTTCCATTTTGGCATAGTTAGGAAAAGTCTATCCCCAAACACTTCCACACCTTCAATGGAGAAAAAAATCGTCAAAATGATTACTGAACATGATATTCAATGAACAAGAAAGTTTTTGGAACACCACTTCCATTGTCTGATTTGTTCCTTCACTGTTATCTTCGAATGTTTTTTGTTCTATTTCAATTCAGAGAGACAAATTTTGTGACGTCAAACTGCCGTCATATGGAATTTGAAGAAAATGGGTTGTATGTACGCTAGTATTTTGAAAAAAAAATTGTTACTTGTGTTAAACTGTTCAAAGAAGATTTTTATATTCTACCCAATGATTTCAAAAAATATATTTTGGTACAGGGTGTCCCAAATTCAAGGGACTGTGAGAGGTACAGGGTCGGTTGAATCAAGACAAAACTGCGTTGCTTGGTACTCTTTTCAATGATGTTTTGGAATCTGATGAATTCCGGATTCTTCCGGAAAGATCCTGAGAAAATCGAAAATGTACAATTTCGTTTTAGTTTTTTCTGACGTTATTGCAGTGCTTAAATTTTGAATCCAACAATTCGTTTCTCAGGAACCATCATGAGCTTTGTATTTTATATGAAACACTCTGTATGCGATAGAGCTTTTCAAAAGGAGTTCAATGATCAAGCACATCAAGAGAAAAATATGAAAGCCGCTTACAGAAACTTGGACTGGAAAATGAGAGCCAAGGTAAATTCTTGTTCCGGATTCTTGTTAGTTTATTTTGAAGAGTTGTAAAGAAGATTGGAATCATCAACAGTATGGTCTCAGTACTCTATGCTGAGGAGTACCTTGATTATTAAAAACTGTGTTGATATATCGAAATACGTAAAACTACGTGCATTTTTTAAACGCCAATCTGAAAAATGTGCTCCATAGCTAACAAAATGAACATTTCAAAAAGTATAGTAGAATCCATTTAGCATCCAGTGCCATTAGAACCTGAAAACAACAATGCTGTGGTACGTTTCCCCATCAACTTCAACTTCGACCGCTGCTAATATTTCAATTACCGAAAAGATGTTGAAACAAAAAGACCTACCAGGAATTACTTCACAAAATTGTTCAAATATAACTGTTAATTACTATTTTAAATAAAATATAAAAATGAGTTATTGACATAAAAGGATTATTATACAGTGTCACCGATAAAGTCCGCATCAAATGGGAAACTTTTTTATTTATCGTTTTATGTGAAATTTGATTTTGGCAGTAGATTTTGCTTAAGAAATGATGTCAAATGGCGTCTACAAAATAGGTCACGTGATTTCCTTAACCTGTCAAAATTGACATTTAAAAAAAGAAACATCGAAAAATGACATTATTCTTCAAAATATCCAAAAATATCAAAGGATAAAAACATTTTCTTTTGTAATTTTATACCCACACACCAAGTTTCAAACCCATAATAAGTATTTTATATTTTCACTATTTTT